TGGAACAGCTGGGAGGAGGTAATCCCGCCCTCCCCCGTCAGGAGCCAATGGGAGCGTTTCTCTGCCTCGGGAGGGCCAATGGGCGCCCTCTGCTCGCTTCCTAGGTTCTGGCCAATCAGGAGCGAGGAGGCGTGACAGCCGCGGACAATGGGGGGAGAGATGATGGGATTTGGGATTTCCTGCCTGCTGGAATGCGGGCCATTGTCCCAGGTGATGTTTGTCAAACAAAGGCTTTCCTGTCCTTAATGGGTCTGGCAAGGGATATGAATAGCTGGGTCGAAATCGGACCGCCCGGAGGATCAACAATTTCTTGAGTGGATTAATCAGTCTTTTATTCCGAGGCTCTGCTGACCCTGCCCTCCTTCGCTGGCCTTGCTCCGAAGACGAAATTGGGGGGGCCGGCAGCATTGTCCATGCAAATGAGTCAATCAATGGGTGATTTGGGGGAAAGAGGCTTGGGCTCTTTCCCTCAGGCAGTTCCTGGTTAGGCTGGGTTCTTGGGGTAAGGGGTCAAGGAGGGGAAGATACAGGGGAATTCATTGAGGGATACATATTTCATAATTACAAAATGCAGGCATCATCCATATACAGGCATTTCATGTACCACAACCCACCACCCATCCCAACCCATATCCATAAGAAAATATTTTATTTTGTATTTCATTTCATGAAAGGGAAGAAAGTCTAGAAATCTCAAAAGTCCAAACAGAGGGGCTTGGATGCAGGGGCCAGCCTATGGTTTAGGCTGGCCATTAGAAGATCAGTCCATTTTGGGGAACAGGAGCTGGAGCTGAAGGGGGGAGCTACGTTCTGCTGTCCCGTCCTTGGCGGAACTAGCGCTCCCATCTGGGGATCGGGCCTTCCCTGCCCGGTCCCCACTTCCAAGGCTTCCTCTTGGGCAATCGGGGTTGATTGCAGGCGGTGGGAACCATGCTGGAGCGGGCAGCGACGAGGGGAGTGAAGCAAGCGGCAAAAGCCGGCGAGTTTGACAATCAGCTGGTGGCTTGGCCGAATTTTAATGATTAAATAATAACAATTATTGTATGAATGCAGGAGTCCAAAATGAGAAAACCAAGATAGCAGTTAGTCTTAGAATTGAGTGTAGAGAAGTATAAAATTTGAACGGCCCCGATCCGCCATGTTGTTGTTGTGGCGGATAAAGGGGGGGGGGCCATTAGGAAAACCTCCGTATCCACGATTTTTGCTAACGTGAATTCGGGGGCCTGGGGAGGCCAGGAAGGCGTCCCCAGTAAGCTCACGGTCCCCCAGAGCTCAGGAAAAGGTTTAGGGTGAGTTAGAGAGGCTGCAGTCAGTAAAAAGACACAAAGTATCATGCGGAGAGGATTCAAAGTTTCAAAACTTAAGTGTTTTATTGAGGGATTGGTTACAAAGATAGGGAGAGGGGAAAGTGAAAGAAAACTTCGTGCAGTTCTTTGCTTTGAGCTGCTGGCTGGGGCGCGTTCCGTCAGTCGGACCCAACTTTGCTCTACGGAACTGCGGAACTCCCTGCTGCGCTTCAAACCAACTTGAAGGCGGGAGACTCCGCTACCTGGGGGGTCATCAGTAGCTGTGTTTTCAATTACATTTTGTTCCAGGCAACTGCCTAAATGGTGACAACATGAGTAAATAGAAACCAGACCAAAACTGAGAATAACTCTTCTGGTTGATGATTTATATCTTGCCTTTCCATTAAAATACAGATCCAAGGAAGCTTATGCTACTGATTAACATTCACAAACAAGACATTTTGTTGCCTGAAGAAAAACAGCAAATTGTGATATTCACCCTACATCAGGACACAAACATGTTCAGAAACACAATACCTAAAGCTAGCTAAATTTGTTTTGCTTTGAGGCACAGCAAATTCTGCCAACAGCTGCCTAAACAAATTATTTCTTACTCATTCTGACAAATAGTAGGGTTAGTACTATGTCTAACAAAGCACCTACACTTTTCAATTAATACAGTTTGACACCACTTTAATTGACATAGCTCTGTGTTATGGAATCTCAGCAAATCAACATTAACAACATTTTGATACTGAAAATTGGTAATGATGTCCAACTATTATCAGCCAACAGGATTAATAAAACTATATTGATTTTCTCATGGACAGAATAAATAATCTAAGCCAGCATTTCTCAACCTGGGAGTTGGGACCCCTGGGGGGGGGGTCGTGAGGGGGTTTCAGAGGGGTCGCCAAAGAAAACATATATTTCTGATGGTCTTAGGGGCCCCTTTCGTAGAGAAGGCTGAAGATCTTTCTGTCTGTCCTTCTCTTCCTTTTTGGAACCATGCGGCCAATCCTCCCACCAAAAGCCCCCCTCCACTGTGATTAGCCACTACAACTCCCAAATGTCAAGGTCTATTTTCCCCAAACTCTGCCAGTGTTCATATTTGGGCATATTGAGTATTCGTGCCAATTTTGGTCCAGATCTATCATTGTTTGAGTCCACAGTGCTCTCTGGATGTAGGTGAACTACAATTCCAAAACTCAAGGTCCATGCCCACCAAACCCAATATTTTCTGTTGGTCATGGGAGCTCTGTGTACCAAGTTTGGTTCAATTTCATCAGAATGCTCTTTGATTGTAAGTTAACTATATATCGCAGCAACTACAACTCCCAAATTACAAAATCAACCCACCCCTCAACCCCACCAGTATTCAAATTTGGGTGTATTGGGTATTTGTGCCAAATTTGGCCCACTGAATGAAAATACAACCTGCATATCAGATATTTACATGATGATTCATGACAGTAGCAAATTTACAATTATGAAGTAGCAACGAAAATAATTTTATGGTTGGGGGTCACCACAACATGAGGAACTGTATTAAGGGGTCGTGGCATTGGGAAGGTTGAGAAACCCTGATCTAAACCCTCTTGATGTACCCAGTCACCTCCTTAATTTTTAAAAACCGTATGTTTATACTGCTATTTTGGCTGATGTATTGTTATTTATTTATTTATTTCCTATATTTATACCCTGCCCTCCCCCCAAAGGGGACGCAGGGCAGCCTAACAAAAGCATCATAAAAACAACCACAGTACAATCAAAATATTAAAAATTAAAACAACAATTAAAATAATTAATTAAGACACATCCATTAAAATCAAAATCGAAAAACCAGTCTGGGTCAATTCATTGCTATAAGTTGTGTGATCTTCTTCTGCTTGCTGCTCACTGATCAAACACTTTGTCCCATAACCAGGTCTTGATTTTCCTTCTAAAAGACAAGAGGGAGGTGGCCAATCTGATATCTCTAGATAGGGTGTTCCATAGGCGGGAGGCCACTGCTGAGAAGGCCCTGTCTCTCATCCCCATCAACCGTGTTTGCGATAGTGGTGGGATCGAGAGCAGGGCCTCTCCTGAAGATCTTAAACTTCGTGATGATTAGTGGCAGGAGATAATAAATGTTGTTAGCCACCTGGCGTGCATGTACATTGTAAAATGAATGCATTTTGACACCACTTTGATTGCTGTGGCTCAATGTAATGGAATCCTGGGAGTTGTAGCTTTCCAAGGTATTTATCCTTCTCTGGCAGATCTTTGGCGCCTCACTAAGGACCTCCTCATACTAGGGAATGAATCCACTTGCAATCTGGTTGCTGCCTCATGCAGAATTCTGGGGTTTGTAGTTTAGGGAGGCCCTTTATCAGCCTCACTAAATTACAAATCTCAGGATTCTGCAGGAGGCAGAAACCTTATTGTAAGTGGTTTCATCTAGTGCAGTGGTTCTCAACCTTGCTAATGCTGTGACCCCTTAATGCAGTTCCCTATGTTGTGATGACCCCCAACTATAATATTGTTTTCGTTGCTACTTGATACCTGTCAGTATACTACTGTTATAAATCATAATGTAAATATCCGATATGCAGGATGGATTTTCATTCACTGGACTAAATTGAGCACAAATACCCAATATGCCCAAATGTAAAAGCTAGTGGGGTTGGGGGGAGGACTGGTTTTGTAATTTGGAAGTTGTAGTTGCTGGGATTTATAGTTCACTTATAATCAAAGAGAATTCTGAACTTCACCAGCGCTGGATTTAAACTGAACTTGGCACACAGAACTCCCATGACCAACAGAAAACACTGGAAGGGTTTGGTGGGCATTGACCTCGAGTTTGGGAGTTGTAGTTCACCTATATCCAGAGGAGTGCTGTGGATTTCATGCAATGATGGATCTGGACCAAACTTGGCACCAGGCCCGTAGCCAGGATTTCGTTTCGGGGGGGGGGGGGGCTGAATTTTTTTCAGGGGGGGTTTCGGGGGTTCGATTCGGGGGGAGGGGGGCTGAGTCTGAGTGAAAGAGGGTCTACCCTAGCAAACCTTTTGTATCATTACCCCAATACCCCCATGCATATGGGATATATTGAGTATGGTGATCAGATCATGATATGAATAAACATAACAGTTTAAATAATGCACCAATAAGGCCTTTTCGCGAACCACCATGAAAATTTCGGGGGGGGGCTGAAGCCCCCCCCCCCCCCCCCCCCCCCCCCCCCCCCCCCCCCGGATACTGGACCAAACTTGGCACAATAAATATGCCCAAATGTGAACACTGATGGAGTCTTGGGAAAATAGATCTTGACATTTGGGAGTTGTATTTGTTGGGATTTATAGTTCACCTACAATCAAAGAGCATTCTGAACTCGGCCAACAATAGAATTGGGTCAAACTTCTCACCCAGAATCCCAATGACCAGCACAAAAAATAGGTTTTCTGATGGTCTTTGGCGACCCCTTTGACACCCCCTCAGTGTAGACTCATAGAATCCAGTTCAAAACAGATAATCTGGATTCAGTCTGACTCACCACTCCCAAGATCTCATAGCATTGAGCCATGACAGTTAAAGCGGCGTCAAACTGCATTCATTCTAGAGTGTGGACACAGCTTTGAACTCCTTGCATAATACTATCTTTCAAGATCGCATTTGCAATTAAATCACTGTGACATTTATTTTTCAATGTAAATGTGTTCACTTCGCCTTCAGATAATAAACCATAGCTGCTCTTCGCTGTTCATGGGTGTAAACATCTTTGTCGAGACATCTAACATCAGAACGCCTGGCTTGATTGAAAACCGAAAGTATTTTTTGGAAATCACGTGATCCTTGGGGCGTCTGGAAGAGTCCCTTGTTTTCCAGACAGAAGCGAAGGAAGCTGCTGTTGAACTCTAGGAAGGAAAAAGGTAAGGCGTTTTGCGGAATGGGAGAAACCCATTGCATTAAGAGTGCTTTCCTTACCTCCCTCCGTTCCGGATTTCCCCATCCCCGATCTAGATCTTGTGGCAGAGGGATCTTTACACTGGCCTAGCGAGCAGGAATTAGGTTCATTCCTCTCATGCATTCATTCCTCCTTGTTCTCGAAGCTCTGGGGTTTGAAAAATGACTTAAAAATAGCTTGCCAAGCCAAGGATGCTTTTAGAATTAGCGCAGTTTGATACCACTTGAACTGCCATGGCTTAAATTATGGGAATTGTAGTTTTACAAATTTGGTGTCATTTTCTGCTAAGAATCCTAACAGTGATTCCTCATCAAAATGTAAATCTCAGGATTCCATAACATTGAGCCATAGAAGTGAATGGGTGGCAGGTTCAAACTGCATGAATTGTATATTTTTTCAACTGTTGTGAGACATTTGGATTCTCATTTGAGAAGGGAAATAATAATAATAATAATAATAATAATAATAATTACTACTACTACTACTACTACTACTACTACTTTGGGACCTCTGGATTCAGACAGAGTTTTGGACCACAATACTCCTGACCTCACAATTGTGTTAAAAAAAACAAAGTATGTATTGTCGAAGGCTTTCATGGCCGGAATCACTGGCTTGTTGTAGTTTTTTCGGGCTATATGGCCATGGTCCAGAGGCATTCTCTCCTGACGTTTCGCCTGCATCTATGGCAAGCATCCTCAGAGGTAGTGAGGTCTGTTAGAACTAGGAAAAAGGGTTTATATATCTGTGGAATGACCAGGGTGGGACAAAGGACTCTTGTCTGCTGGAGCTAGGTGTGAATGTTTCAACTGACCACCTTGATTAGCATATAATGGCCTGACAGTGCCTGGAGCAAAGTTTTGTTGAGAGGTGATTAGATGTCCTTGTTTGTTTCCTCTCTGTTGTTGTGCTGTTCTAATTTTAGAGGTTTTTTTTAATACTGGTAGCCAGATTTTGTTCATTTTCATGGTTTCCTCCTTTATGTTGAAATTGTCCACATGCTTGTGTATTTCAATGGCTTCTCTGTGTAGTCTGACATGGTGGTTGTGAGAGTGGTCCAGCATTTCTGTGTTCTCAAATAAACAGAAAGGAGGAAACCATGAAAATGATCAAAATCTCACAATCTTGTTAAAAAACAAAGTATGGATCGTAGATGTTGCAATTCCAGGTGACAGCAGGATTGAAGAGAAACAACTGGAAAAGCTGACACGATATGAGGATTTAAAGATCGAACTGCAAAGACTCTGGCACATGCCAGTCAAGGTGGTCCCAGTGATAATCGGCATACTGGGTGCAGTGCCTAAAGACCTTGGCCTGCACTTAAACACAATCGGCACTGACAAAATTGCCAGCTGCAGAAGTCCACCTTTCTGGGATCTGCATGCATTATTCGCCAATATATCACACAGTCCTAGACACTTGGGAAGCGTCCGATGTGTGATCCAATACAACAGCCAGTAGAGTGATCTTGTTTGCTGTGGACTCATCTTGCTCTATTTCCTCAAAGGGATTCAGGGCAGATTCCAAATATAAAAGACAAACATTCAGTGCCTGAATACAACAACAATACATCCATACTAATAAAATTTAAACAACCCAACATATAAACACAAATTATGACTTGACAACTAAAATTAAATTAAAAAACACAGCCTGTTATAACAGACATAAGACAAAATATCAAACATCAAATGGAAACAATAATTTCCCAGTTCCTAGGGGTAAATCGAAAGTAGTATATAAATACATTTTATATTATAACTTGTCCTACAATCGTTGTTGTGGTTTCGGCAAAGCACCATTCTACTACGGTTTTTCTACTACAGGGTGGAAGGCTGTGATTTCCTCTCCCTGCCTGCATTCCTAACCCTGTGGCTGCAGTTTAAAACGCTGCTGTTTGTTTGTTGTGAGAGTTACCCAGTGCTGAAAAGGAGTTGAAATAAAGGCAAAAGTGAAAGGGAGTAAGAAGAAGGTGCAAGGAACAAGAATATAAATAAATATAATAATACAATGTTGATAAAAATTATTATTTATGCAATGTGAATTCACCCTCAACCCCCCAAGTCTCAATTGACCTGCCTGTCAAATAAGAAATGTAAATGAGTGCGGTAAGGTTTCCCAGAGTCCTAGGGTGCATCAACACTATAGAGTCTCGCTTATCCAACCTTTACTTATTTGATATTCTATCTTATCTGACACTCTTATTCAATGCCCCCCTTTTCCTCCAGCATTTCCCCATCAATTAAAGGAGAGTCCCCCAAACTCTCCATTCTGCTGGCCTGTTTATGTCGGATAAACAAGACTCTACTGTAATATAATTTGACTTCACTTTAACTGCCATTGCTGAATGCTAGAGAATCATGGGAGTTGTTAGCATTCTCTCTCAAGCAATTTTTTTCATGTTAGAAGCAATTTGAGAAGCTGCAAGTTGCTTCTGGTGTGAGAGAATTGGCCATCTGCAAGGACGTTGCCCAGGGGACGCCTGGGTGTTTTGATGTTTTACCATCCTTGTGGGAGGCTTCTCTCATGTCCCCGCATAGGGAGCTGGAGCTAACAGAGGAAGCTCATCTGCGCTCTCCCTGGACTCGAACCTCTGGCCTGTTGGTCTTCAGTCCTGCTGGCACAAGGGTTTAACCTCTCAAGCAATGCTGATGCCTCATCAAACGACAACTCCCAGAATTCCATAGCATTGAGTTGTGACAGATAAAGTGGTGTCAAACTGCTCTAAATCTACAGTGTAGATGTACCCCTCATCTCACATTCAATCAATGACACCACTCTGGCTCTCAATGTAGTCAGAGGATGGATCTACACTGCCACATCATGCAGCTTGATTCTGCTTGATGTGGTCAGTGTAAACCCATGCAATGCAGTTCAGTGCAGTTAAACTTCATTGTGGGGGTCTGCACCAGTGTGCTTCTCCAGATGTTTTGAACTTCAGGTCCCAGAAATCCCAGCCAGCTTACCAGCTGTTAGGAATTGTGGGAGCTGAAGTCCAAAACGCCTGGAGGAGCAGAGTTTGAGAAACACTGGTCTACACTGACCATAGATCTCAAGATTCAATATGGCAGTGTCCATCCAGCCATAGATACCTATATTTCTAAAGACAAGAGGACAGAGTGTGTTGTTCTCCTTCCATTCAACGGTGATTCATTATTTCATCATGTGGTTCTCTCTCCACAGCAGGGTGAATTATAATACCCCGTCTTTTGCTTCTCAATGGGTGCTCAGAGGCCTCTCATTGTACCCTGGTTAATTGAGCAGCTGGATGCTCAGCGATACCCAGGAGTCTCATGGCTGAACCCAGAGCGGACTCAGTTTCGAGTACCATGGAAGCATGGGGGACGGCAGAATATTAGTGATGAGGACTTCCAGCTCTTTGAGGTAAACTTTCAAGGTTTTGTGTGGTGTATATAAATGCACGTCCCATCCTACATCCAGGGGGTGCTACTTTTGAATCAATGCACTTTGACAGCACTTTGAAATATATGGTTCAATGCTATGGAATCATGGTAGTTGTATTTATACAAGATATTATAGTTTGTTCTAGTGTCTCATCAAACCACAAGTCCCATAATTCCATAGCATTGAGCCAAGGCAGTTCAAGTGTGTCAAACTATTAATTCTACAGTGGAAATGTATCAAGACACAGCTGGTTTATATCTTATCTTTAGGCAGGTCAGGGCCAGCCCTACCTTTATGCACAGTGAGCTAATTGTCTCAGGAAACCAATTTTAGATGTATTTAACTATGTTGTACCCTGCCTGAGCCAAAAAGAAAGGTGGATAATAAATAAATAATTATTATTGAGGGGTCCTGTGAAAAGGCAATAAATTGATATTTATTTAGTTTATTACTAACCAGCTCTTGCACCTTACTATTATTCCTTAATTAGAAATATAGTGCTCTCTTTATATAAACAACCCCCCCCCCCCCAAGTCTCGAATTTTGGCATCTGCCTTCAGCACTTTATCCATCAGCCCCGTCCTTTGCAAGTTATTCTGCCAACCCGCCTACCCGAGCTCAGAATTGTGCACTACTCAGATCATTGATGGTTGTTAGATAGTCGCTATATATTGAATTATGTATGGTTGTTTTTATACTGTTGAAATTGTTTTTATGGATTGTATTGTGTTATATTTTAGCCATGTTGAATCTTGGGCTTGTCTCCGTGTAAGCCACCTCGAGTCCCTTCGAGGAGACGGAGACGGGGTACAAAAATAAATTGTTGTTGTTGTTGTTATTATTATTTGGCTGTTACTGCCAGAAAGGGAGGAGATGTGGCATGCAATTATATTTTTATTGTAGCCTAAAATGTCAAATAAATTGTAGGAAGTAAAAACTGTAGCACATGCAACATGATCCTTAGAAGAACTTGGAGTTACATCTCAATATTTTGCTGGTGAAAAATACCAATTCTTGGCCTGTGCATGCTCCATGTTGGGGAATCTGAGCTGTTACGCTCAGAAATAACCCCCTGTTAGGGCAATTCCACAAAATATAGCAAAGTACCAAGAGTAAACTTCATAACCAAGTGTTGTTATGGATAAAAGCAAACACTAAACAAGATACTGTTTTTGCTAGTGTAATGTATCCAATTGCAAGTGTAAAACTGCCTACTCTTTGACCTATTGAGAATCACCCTTATTATGAAGATGCAGGTTTATGGGCAAGAACCAAGATAGTTTATTCCACGTATAGCAGAAAACCAGCAAAGGAGGTTAAAAGGGAATTGGTGAAGATGGGAGTGAATTACTACATTCTAGAAGAATCCTGGTGTCTAAAGAGATCTAAGCCTGGCTGTGGCATGCCAGAAATTTGGAATGTAGAAGATCTCTTCAACACTGGAAAAGTTCCCTTATGCGATCAAGAATTCCAGACCATAATTCAGGACAGTATTCGACAACAATGTATACAAAGTGTTAGAAGTTAGTTTATAAGTTATATTGAGTTTATGTTATTTTATGTTTTGCTTTGATTGTCAATTTGTTTTTGGGCATTGAATGTTTGCCATTTTATTTTTATTTTGTAAATTTATCTGAGTCCCTTTGGGAGATTGGATGGGTTATAAATAAAGTATTATTATTATTATTATTATTATTATTATTATTATCAGCAGAAACGTACGTGTGGGGAGCAGGAATAGCCTTTTAACCTTTAGGATGGCTGAGGATTGCAGAGTCAATCTTTAGGTTCAAGAGATTTATTAAAAGTAAAAAAGAAATACATTCTTGATACAAAAGCCTTGGAGCTTACTCATCTTCCAAAGAAGGTAAAAGGTAAAAAGTCAATGCAGCTACATTTTGCCTACAGAGGGGCAAAATGCATCCTCACAGGGAGAAAGAAAAAGCAGAAGTAACAATGGTGGACACCGCATGGCCTTCTCGGGGCAATTTAAGTTTAAAAGGAAGTTCCTTCACAGAATACCATTACTATATCATCAAAGCGGGGGGGGGGGGAGAGAGACCATGGCTAGCAGTAATGACAAAGACAAGCCCTTTAAAAATATGCACAGGAATGTGAGGAAAGGAATCCCTGAGTTTGGCTCTGTCTTTAGCTACTCATTGAGGACTAGAAACTTGATGAAACAAAGACTTGTGCAATCCAGGGATGAAACCCAACACTCCCAAATATTGTCCTTGTGGGCTATATAATTGATAGAAAGAGAAAACACAGATATCTATATAAATAAAAATGTAATGTTCGTTTGTGGGATTAACATAACTCAAAAACCAATGGACAAATTGACCCCAAATTTGGACAGCTTACACAAATTTGGTGTATGCTGTCCAAATTTACATACAGCTACATTTCAACATACAGCTCAAAAAAACAAAACAAAAAAAAAAAGCAGAAAGGACTTCTAAACCCAATATTCCTACGGGGAGAAACAGTGCATGTCCACAAAGACACCCATGGCCATGCCCCCTCCTCCACGCGGGGAAAAAGCCAGCTGTTAAAGCATTGGGAGCCAGGTGTGCACACACACAAGTGAGAGTGGGCACCGTGGGAGTGGAGGTGGAGGCTTGCCACATAGAGCCCCTTCTCTTTCCTTGCTCTGTCAGGAGGGTGGTCTCCTCCTCCTTTGCTTCCCCATGCCTCTTCTGCTTGCCTTTATGTATCCAGAAAAAGAGTTTGGGACAGCTAATCAGTGTTTTCCAGATAGTGCAAACCTAAGAGAGAAAAGTAGCTTCCTGTATATCCTATTTGTTTATATCATACAGCAAGGGTCCTCAAACTTTTTAAACAGAGGGCCAGGTCGCAGTCCCTCAAACTGATTATAATTTGGAAAAAAAAATATGAATGAATTCCTATGCACACTGCACATATCTTATTTGTAGTGCAAAAGACACTTAAAAACGATACAATAATTAAAATGAAGAACAATTTTAACAAATATAAACTTATTAGTATTTCAATGGGAAGTGTGGGCCTGCTTTTGACTGATGAGATAGGATGGTTGTTGTTGTTGTGTGCTTTCAAGTGGTTTCAGACTTAGGTTGACCATGAGCAAGAGCCGGGCAAATTACTTTGGAGGGCTGTATCCAGCCCCCGGGCCTTAGTTTGAGGACCCCAGTCATACAGGATCGCTTGATAGGAAGAATGAGAGGAAAGTAAGGCTCTGCCAGTGGCTGCCATATCGGGTGAAATGAATCCATCATGGATTTTGTTCCAGACTTTAAAGGAGCTCTGTGACTCTGTGATGTTTAGGTTCAGCATCACTCTCTGGGCGGCAAAAAACAAGTGCAAGTTGACAGCACCTCTGGTTACCTTGTAGGTTTCTAAATTTGCCATGGATAAACTGCTGTATTTCTTCAAGTGTAAGATGCCATCAATTGTAAGACCTCATTTCATTACCATCACCATACAGAAGATACACCTGCAATTCTAAGACATACCTCATTTTTATAGATGTTTATATAGGAAAAAGTGTGTCTTAGCATTGAAGAAATACAGTACGTACACATTTCTCTCTCTCCTTTCCTTCTAGGACTGGGCCATTGCCAGAGGCCGGTACCGTCCAGGCATCGATAGGCGGACCCCTTCCGAATGGAAAAGAAACTTCCGTGCTGCCTTGAACCGAAAGGACGGGATTGAAAAGATACAGGATAACAGCACAGACTCTGAAGATCCGCATGTAGTGTTTGAGATCAAGCAGCCTAATGGTGCAAGTAAGGAGTTAAGATGGAAGAAACCAGCATCCTAAAGTGGGTCTCTGGTTTAGATGCAAAGGATGCAGGATGAAGGAGGAGGAGGAAGTCTGCTGTTGAATACAGTACTTGGAAACCACCCTCTCTTGGTTTTTTTGGGTTGTTTTATTTTTACTATAACACCTGGAATAGTTGTGATAGGCTGGGAGAGTCTGGGAATTGTCATCCAAAATAAGAACTTATCTTCGGGATCACCTCTTCCCCTATGAACCAGTACGTACCTTGAGATCATCCGGGGAGGCACTGCTTGCTCTCCCCTGCCGTCTCAAGCACAGTTGGTGGGGACGAGGGAGAGGGTCTTCTTGGTGGTGGCCCCCCAGCTCTGGAACTCCCTCCCTAGGGAGATCAGACAGGGTCCTACTTTGCCCTCTTTCCGGAGACAACTAAAAACCTGGATGTTCCGGTGTGCTTTTGATCAAGCAGTCCACTAATTTTCCTGCTCCTACTTTAAGTTTAGCACTTTACGTCAGCCCTCTTATCATCCACCTTAGCACTTTTGATGATAGTATCTCCAGCCCTGCCTACTTATTTGTTGCACTTTCCTTGCACTCCTTCAGAATATATTGCACTCATTGAATCTGTACCTCATCTATGTTCTTTTTCTCAGCCATATTGTTTTGATGTTTGTTTACAATTGTTACTGTTTTATATTTTATCTGATGTCTTTAATTGGTTGGGTTTTATCGGTAATTTTTGGGCTTGCCCCTTGTAAGCCGCCCCAAGTCCCTTCGTGGAGATGGTTGGCGAGGTATAAAAATAAAGTTATCATTATTGTTATTATTATAACTTTCTGTGATTAGACTGAATACAAACTTCTTTCATAGGTCAAAGCGACTCTGCTGGAGGAACAGTGAATACAGCAGCCAGTGATATATCCTCTGTTGCATCAGGAAGCACATCAGTGCCTGGAGACTTTTCTTCATGTAGTCAGGTCAGTGTATTCCATCCTTCCCAGTCTCACAAAACAACAATATGGAACAACAGAAACAGCAAAAAGAACTCAAGCAAGAACCCTTGCCTTTCCTCTCCCTGTGTGTCTTTTTCATCTAAATCCAACAAACTGTTCTGCATTAGCACCTGGTGCTGATAATGGACTAAGTCATGTGTTGATTATAAGGGGGAAATATTGTACATAGCATGCGACCAGAATGTGGAACATTTTTTGCAGGGAGCAGAACCTGTTTCATTTACCTATGTTATTTTCTAGGTTTTCTGTGCTTAGAAGTTTACCATTATTTATAGGTGGCAGTGTTATAAAATTTCTCTCTGGGAGGTCTACTCTTTCATGGATTCCACAAAAAGCACTGGGACTGTGGCACAGCTGGCTGGGAGTCAGCAGCATTAAGATCACTACTGACCAAAAGTTCATGAGTTTGAAGCCAGCCCGGGTCAGAGTGAGCTTCCGACAAATTTGTGTAGCTTGCTGTTGACCTTTGCAGCCTAAAAGACAGTTGCATTTGTCAAGTAGGAAATTTAGGTACCGCTTATGTGGGGAGGCTAATTTACAACGCCATAAAAATCTTCAGCAAGCATGCAAAGAATGAGGAAGTACTTCATCAGTGTCACAAATGGATGGTGAAGTGACAGCTCCCCTGGTGGCCAGAATACCCTCATGAATAGCCTCTGTGTGTCTGTCTATATATGTTGTGTGTCTATGGTATTGAACGTTTGTCATGTATATGTACATTATAATCCACCCTGAGTCCCCTGCGATGTGAGAAGGGCGGAATATAAATACTGTAACTAAATAAAATGTAACTGTCAGACTAAAAATATGCCATTCTAATGCAAGTGGGTTAGCTGTGGAGTCCCCCCCCCCCCCCCGCGCAAACCAATTTAATTCGATTAGTGTTTATTTGTTTGACTTGATGAAAGTTTTGATTTTCGCTTCCCAGATAAACCTTTGGTGGTATAAAGGTGAGGTGTGAATAAATCAATGAATGTTTTGAGCAGTCTGAGGGAGCAGACATGGGATGAATTAACTAATCAGGATTGTGAAATACTAGAAGAACAAAGGAAGGAAGGAAGGAAAAATGCTAAGGCTGCACTGTTCTGTTATTTAGGATGAATTACGGGACAATGTGTTAAGTGGCCTGGATCTCCCCAGTTCCCAAGAAGGTGAGTGATGGACATCAGAAATGAATCTGGGAAAAGATCAGGTAAGATGCTGGGAGAAAGTAACAACCAAGAAAAGTAAATGGGATTTTAATGAAGGGCCAATTTTCCTGACAGACCTGACAAGCCCATTATCTACCAGAAGTCATTGGTTCAGTAACATTTGCTATTACCTGCCATTTTACATATCCACATTAAGTACTGGAACCAATCCCCATGGATATGGGAGTCATATTGTACTTGTTTTATATACAAGTGAACAATTACCATATTTTCTGTTTGTAATATTTGTATTTTTAAAAGTGGGGGGAAATTAAGACATCAAAGCCTGGAGAAAAATTCTCCAATATTTCTGCAACACTCAACCCTATGGGGAGAAAAGGCTCTTCAGATCTTCATAGGTCTGGCTGCAGACAAATCGTCCTACACACCAGATAAACTCTGCCCCTCTCAAAGAACCTTATTCTGTTTTGCACTCACTGCTTGTATGCATTTTAACAGGTTGGGGTAGAAGCCTTAATTTAAATAGGTCCTGCTCTAGGTGCTGTGATGGTGTGCATATATGAGAACACAGGAAACCACCCTGGAGAAAAGAAAATGCCAAAGTGTTGAAGAGTGGCAATTCTACCTTGAGTCCCTCATTCAGTCCCCTTGATTTGTCTTTTCCCCCAACCAAAGATCTGTAGAGAAGAGCTCTATTTGCATCTGACACTGTTATACTGAAGCTCATTCTTACCAATAAGGATCCATGATTCCTTAGCCAGCTGCCCTTTCCCCATGCTGGCATCTTCCAGGATGTGTTTGACTCAAGCTCCCATCATCCACATCTTAATCAGCTGGGAATAATGAGATTTGGGATCCCACATATCCAAAGAATGCCAGAAGGAGGCAAAAAGTTGATTTACATTTCAAACTCACTTCTCCAATGTATTCATAGCAGCATGCATGAGCTTCATCTCCTCCTGTGAGATAGTTTTGGCTGAAAGAAAATGACTGGACCCAGTAGATTTCATGATTCAACAGACGTTCGAAATTGGCCCTCTCAAGTCCCTCTCCAACAACTTAATCACAACACCACGTATTGTCTAAGAAATACTCTCATAGATCTACAATGTGGGCATCTTCAAGGTCCATTAACTTGTAAATCAGGTGTGAGGTTTTCTTTTATTCTTTTTCTCTTCCATGACATTTGGGCCAGAAGATCCCAACTGGTGTGGAATCCTGTCTCCTACTGCCGTGGAGCCATCACACTCTGCAGGCCCATTTGAGCAGGTGTTGGGAGCCAGTGCATTTGGTGAGATGATCCAATCTCTGTGGAAAATAATAATAATAATAACAAAACAACAACAACAACTACTACTACTACTACTTTATTTATATCCCGCCACCATCTCCCAAAGGGGACTAGTGTGGCTTACAGAACAGCACACAATAATGCCATATAACACATAAAATACATCAAAATTACGTATCCATCTTGCAACCCAAGCTAGGCTTGCAACCCATAACCTTGTTGAACTTTGTTGTTCTAACTAGGGCAGCCTCTCCATGACAACACTGCTTGAAGATGATGCAGGTTGAGGAGTGGCAGAATGGAGAAAACTGTTCTAAGTAGGCAACTAATTTTGCCTTGTTGACTCCAGACCATAAGCTGCCTCTCCAGACCTGAGTGGCATCAGAATATTGATTAAATCAAAGCTCTATATGTCTTCTTCAACAGCTTCATGTATATATTTAAAAAAAAAACATTGGGGACAGGATAGGGCAGTGGTTCTCAACCTGTGGGTCCCCAGGTGTTTTGGCCTACAACTCCCAGAAATCCCAGCCAGTTTACTAGCTGTTAGGATTTCTGGGAGTTGAAGGCTAAAACATCTGGGAACCCACAGGTTGAGAACCACTGGGATAAGGCCTTCTGGAACCCCTCAGTTGTACAACCCTTCCCCAACAGCTAGAAAATATCAATTCCTCCATAGGACAAGAATCAATTAAAAACAAATCAGTTTTAATTGTATGTTGTCTTATTGATAATGTTGCATAGTATTGTCTATGTTTTTTAATTTTAATTGCTTGTATTGTTATGATTATTGCTTGTATTGTTGTGTTTGGGCTCGGCCTCATGTAAGCCGCACTGAGTCCCTTGGGGAGATAGTAGTGGGGTACAAATAAAGTGTGATTATTGTTGTTGTTGTTGTTGTTGTTGTTGTTGTTGTTGTCAGCCCAGAATCATATACTACTGAAAGGTCCAGCAGAACCAACAAGGATGTATTTCCACAATTCCATCAGTTCCCAGTGTACATCCTCCATCAGAGAACAGGATTGTTTCTGTTCCATGAAAGACATCAGAACTGTTTCTGTCTGAAGTCAAACTGGAACTGTTCTAGTTAATTTCCATCTAATTTTGATCCAAGAAAGACTGGCATTTTGGCAGTCTCTCATTCTAAGATTGGAAACTGGCCAATAGTAATGTAGAGTGGTGGAGTCCAGTAAAGTTCGATTGGTCTTACAACTTCTTTTTAAAAAAGGTTTACTACTGCTACTATCTGATATGCCATTTATAACACCGTGTAACACAATTTTTGTTCCTGGGTTATAAATGTCATTTTGTAATTGGCACTATCATAATAACACGGGGAAAGTTTATTAAACTGCAAAAGCTTTGTTTTTGTGGGACATCCAGCAGCACATTTTGTTGTAGTTTTTCAATGAATATCTCATTGAGTCTCAGCCAATTCAACATAATTTGTGGCAAGCACAGAAACAACGTTTCTAGAGTATAACAACTATTTTCAAAGTAAGGACCACACAATTAAACAGGAAATAACACTTTCAAACCAGGAATGTGTTTTTTTTTCAAATTTTGTTACATAGTGTAATAATCAGTTGGTAGGCCTCATTTGTCCAAGCAACTCACATCAAATTGAAATTCATCTGTTAAAACTTCTCACTAGGTGTCTCAGTTACCTGAGGAGCCCTCCTCCATACATAGAAGTTCCTAAAACAAATTCTCTAGAAATAGTGTTTGAAGCCTCAGAGGCATTTTCACCATCCTCATCAATGTGGCTGTAATCAATCAGATTTGTTCCTAGTCCTTCTCCACCAATAGCTTAGTTGTCCTCTCAAATGATTCATTGTCCTCAGCTTCTCAGATAATCAAGGAGCCTGATTCTACACCCAGATAAATGATGCTTAATGTCCTTGGCTTTCATTGTGTATCTGGCTGTGTGTGTGTCCATACTGAGCATCACAGATCTCTTTTATCCTTTTCATATCTTCCATGCAGTAGTTGGAACAGAATATCCAGTTTGCTCTGGAACCCTGTCTCAACCGAGCTTGGATTTGACTCAACAAACTGTCATGGTACAACCATTGCAGCTAATCTTGGAAGCCCCAACACTTGGTAAGATTCTGGAAACAGAGCAGTGAAAGAACTAGCTAACTAAAATAAACTGAAGTATGACTTAAGCTGAAAATTGGCCAATAAAAAGGGATAACTTAATTAGATAAAAAAAATGCACAAAGGTGATTTACTTAAGTAATTTCAGCATTAACGTTTCTCCATAATTTAATTAATTAAATACATAAATGGGCCGCAGCGCTCATAGACCAAACAACTCTACATTACCCAGTTGGGTCTTTACTCAACTTCTTTTTGGGGGTTTTCTTGGCAAAATTATATTTATTTTCTTAAGTACCTCACAACGGAGGAATTACAAGGTTCAGATCACAAAGAGCTTAGAAAGTGTAGTGGTCTTCTTTGCGTTGTGTGATCAGAACATTGGTTCATCTTTATTTAATACTTTCTGAGGGGTGGTCAGGTCTTTTTAGAGGGACCAATGCTCACATTTGGATTTTTTAAAAATCTTCTAGGCACAATGAGAGTAAACTGAGGAGGCTAAAGGACAATCAACCTGCCTAAGAATTTCCCTATTTTTAGCCCTAGTTGCCAACCGCATTTCTTGACAGCCTTATTATACAATGCTTGGGAAAGTGACCATTTTGGGGTATTTCTTCCAGACTTCCTTTCAGCCTAGCTAGCTGCAATATAAAGAAATGACTTTTCTAAACTTTGCTATTGTACAAGTTTGTATGAATAGCTGTGGCTAAAGTTTCCAGAGTGAAATCTGGAGAGGATTCCTGTCCCTTTATAGGTTATAGCTTTTACACAAATATTGGAGGCATCTCCAATTTTGACTCTGGCAACCCAAGTTATATCTACAGGGAAAACAACAAAGAATACTACCATACTGACAGATATGAACGGAACCATTTATACCTAGTGTCATGTGCTGGGGCTCATCAAGTATCAGGGGCTGAGATTTATTAAACAAATGCAAGAGTTGGCCAATAAAAAAATTGCATCCCACAGCCAGAGTAACATTGATGTTTTATTTTATTGTACTTCATATTATGTTCACTTTAATGCTTGTTTTTAGGCACTTTGTGCAGTCTTTAAGCCACCCCTAATCCCTTTGGGGAGATGGTGGTGGGATATAACCGCTTTGAGTCCACCTCGAGGTGCGAAAAGTGGTATACAAATACTGTAAATAAATAAATAAAATATAAGAATAAAGTTGTTGTTGTTGTTGTTACAACAACAATGAACACAAATCTAGGCCCAGTTAATGTAGACAAGCCATTTCAGAAGCAAGGATAAACAATAGCCAAAGTTGCAGTCCAGTAGTCAGATACCAGGAGTTCATTTATTAGAGTTCTTAGAGTAACGTTCAAGAACTCAAGAGTACAATCCAAAGTCAGAGTTCCTAAGGCAAGTCATATAATCAGGGGTCAAACTGAAGTCCATAAATTAAAACCTTAGTCCAAATGTAGAGTCAAGATTTCAGGATGCAATAGAGTCCAGAACAGGATTACAGGAGCAAGATCAGGGTCCAGAATTCTTACCCAGGAGCAGCAGAGCCAAGATCCAAGACGAAGCTCTATTGTTATCCACTATCAAAGAGTAATGCCTTCCAGACCCCTCTTTATCCAGAGATCTCAGCTGCTGCTCATTTCAGCAAGCTTTCACAGATAATCCCAGAGGTCTGTGATGCTTTCCTTGAGGAGGTCAGATTAACCTCTCCCAAGGCTTGCCCCCAGCAGCAGCCAAGACAGGCCAGACAAACTGCTGAACACAGATGCCACGAGCTCTCTTCTCTTCCCTCCAGCCACAGATTTTGAGGTACGGATTTATTATCGAGGCCGGCAGGTCCTCAACGAAGTGTTCAGTAACGTGAGAGGTCTGTGCTTTCTGCCTCCTGGCTGCTCTGGATCCAATCCCGATTTCGCAGATGTGATATTCCCCAGCCCAGAGAACTTGAATGACCACCTGCAAGTCTCATACTCTCAGCGCCTCATACAAGAGGTGGCTCCAGGAGTATTTCTCGGCACCGAGGGTCAGTCGCTGTGTGGTATGCGCCGGGGCCATTGCCGTATCTACTGGGGCCAGTCAGAGTTTCCTACAGAGGGGATGCTTCATGGGGAGCTGCCAAAGGAACAGCTTGGCCCTATGTACAGCCTCCAGCAGTTTGTGCACGGTATGCCAATTTTATCTTTGTTTATACCTTGTAGGGCCCAGTGCAAGGGCTTTTCTTACTCCATTTCCTTCTCTTGTCACCATGGAGCATGTGCCGTCGGCATTATTCATAGCTTTGGGTGGGCAGCATCTGATAAAAGAATGGTTTACAATTTAAGGCCAACCTAAAATTCCCCTTTAAACAATAACTTCATTGATAAATTCAAAGAATTCTTATACCTGTCCAAAATGCCATCATTCCCAATCATTACATTATTTCCATCATTTATACTTGGTACCAAAGGAAACACTTCCAGACTCTGACCAATCAGATTAAGAAGTGGCCCGCGAAATAGTCAAGACCTACCTGTTGCTTACAAGAGAAGTCTTCACTATATCATTCTCTAACGGTTCAACACCATTTAAAGAATGCTCTCTTTCTCTCTTAGAATTAATTGGATTCATGGAAGGACGAAATGGATCTCCTAATTATTCGCTATGGTTATGCTTTGGGGAGCAGTGGCCTGATACCAACCGTCCCTGGAAGAAGAAATTGATTATGGTAGAAGTAAGTGACTCCTATTTCCTCCAAGTTGACCACAAACACCTCCAGTATGCTTCCTATATTTTTCTACCTTATAAGCAAATATATGCATGTGTAACTATGAAATGATTTAACATTGCTCTGTAACTGTTGGGAAGATGAATCAGATCTGGTTCTTATGATCCATGAGCTGTAGCAGAGAGAAAGAAGACTTTGAAGGTAAATTCTACTTCTGTGGTGATTGTTTGGGACCTGCCTTCTGTATCATTTTCTGGATCATCAGTTGATTTGGATGTGTGCTTCGTAGACTGACAAAAGGACAATACCACAGCGCTTTACTTAGAATCAGACCTATAGGTAACCAGTTATTGTAGTCATTGGTACAATGAAAATGGCAAAGAATGAAATTATGTTGGAAGTTGAAAAGAGCAATGTTTTGAAACTGTGTGTGCATCCAAAGTTGTGTCTCTTTGCTCTCTGAATTGGTAAAATATGTGAAAAGATCTTGGAGTCCTTGTGGACAACAAGCTAAACATGAGCCAACAATGTGACACTGCAGCTAAAAAAAGCCTATGGGGTTTTGGCCTGCATCAATAGGAGTATAATGTCTAGATTCAGGGAAGCATGCTACCCCTCTATGCTGCCTTGTTCAGACCACTCCTGGAATCACACTATGTCCAATTCTGGGCAAAGCAATTTAAGGGAGATGTTGACAAGCTGAAATGTGTCCACAGGAGGATGACTAAAATGATCAAGGGTCTGGAGAACAAGCCCCATGAGGAGTGGCTTAAAGTGCTGGGCATATTTAGCCTGCAGAAAAGAAGACTGAGAGGAGACATGATAGCCATGTATAAATATGTGAGGGGAAGTCATAGGGAGGAGGGAGCAGGCTTGTTTTCTGCTGCCCTGGAGACTAGGAGGTGGAACAATGGTTTCAAACTACAATAAAGGAGATTCCATCTGAACATTAGGAAGAACTTCCTGACTGTGAGAGCTGTTCAGCAGTGGAAATTTCTGCCCTGGAGTGTGGTGGAGGCTTCTTCTTTGGAGGCTTTTAAAAAGAGGCTGGATGGCCATCTGTTGGGGGTGCTTTGAATGCAATTTTCCTTCTTGGCAGAGGGTTGAACTGGATGGCCCAAGAGGTCTCTTCCAACTCTATGATTCTATGATTCTAAGTGTTTGTTTCCTGATCACCCTCATAGTCTTGAGGCCAGGACCCATTAGCAAAAAACAGATGCTGCAAGACTCTGTCTTCCATCATCCCTCTCTATTGGCTATGTTAATTGACTGGTACTGTTTGAGGTTTCCGTCCAAGAATAGCGGGAAGGTCCCAAGTTACCCTCTCCTGTGTCAATTCTTTTTAGTCCCCACATGATGGTCCAAGGCTTAGAGAGGGAGAAACGGCTACTCATTTGGAAGGACTACACAACTTTCTTCATAGTGAGGATGAGGGATCTTTGCTCCTCTCTCCCTCTCTCAGTTGTGTGTGTGTGTGTATGAATGACATCTCTCTCTTTTTTTTTACACACATACAAAGGAGAAGGTATGGAGGCTGGGGAAAAAGAGAGGGGAGGAGAGGATAATGGTGTCATTGTTAGTAAATGAAGTCTTGACCAATATCTAATACTTCACAAGGGAGGGGTGTGGAGGTGGGAAAAAATACAATGTACATACTTATGTCTGTTACATCTTTTTTTTTGTTTTCATTGCATTTATTTTCACTAAAGTGTTTAAAAAGTATTTAAAAGTTCATGTACATCCTCTATAACAAAGAAAAAAGTGATATTATCAGTTAGTTTTAAATCTGATAATCATGTCCGCTGATGTCTTCTTGCATTTTCTCATTTGGCTCTTTTTTCTTTTCCAGCCTTCTTCTGTAAAAGTTCATCTTGATTATTCTTGTCAGATTGTTTCTTTTAGATCTTTAGTTAATTCTAATTATTACCTAAGGAATCTAAAAGTTCAAGATAGTCTGTTAGTAAGTTAGTATTATGTAAACAAAATTTGCTATATATCATTATGAGTATCATTCTTCTCTCCTGAACATTACACAGCACTTATATGTTTCTATGTACCTATTTCTAATCTATTTAAGAATATTTGCTCCTCTTGATGGCATTGTGTCCTGGCTCCCATCCCCCACCCATATCATTAGTTTGTTTGCTATTGATAGTGAAAATCCAAAAGTAATGGGAGGGTCAAAAGAGTTCCCCACCCCTACTCTAGGATCTGTTTCTGTTCTTGTATTTGCTGTGAATTGTTGTAGCAGCTTGCCTTTTTCTCTCAACAAAATCTACTTCTAATTTATAACAGGTCAGATACCGCAGTTAGCTTCTAGTAGACTTCCCCAATGTTGTGCCATCTGAGTGTGGACACACACTGAAATACTGTACACTGGGGATGAAAAACCAGAGCTTGGAACTATTGTTATTTCAGAATGGAATACCCAGACATCAGATCTCTCTGAGAATTGCAGCCCAAATTTACCTGTTCAGTCCAGAAGATCTGCCATTAGCCAGAGAATGTACATGCACATGCTTCTAGACTCCCTTCATCCACATCTCTACACAAGCACACTTTCCCTCCTTACAACAATCCCATCAAAATTTCCATACACTTCCACCTCTCCTCAGCAACATTCAGTGAGAAGGGTTTTTACCTTCCATGGCAAGCAGTGGGTAGGCCAAGAGGGGAGATCCTTTTCCAGCCAGGGCTGAATTCAATTTTAGTGTCATTTTCAGGCATTTCTTGGTGACATGACCAAAAGATAAGACCAGCACAGTTCAGCTTAAAGTGGTTACTGCAAATAACTAAATATGAGGAGAGCCCTTTGCTTTTTTGGTGAGATACTTGTATCCAAAAACTTAGGACATGTGGTTCCCTAAGGGGGGTGCATCACACGAGAGCCAGATTTGGACACAAGGCTTGAGGGTCCACATGCCTGGATATACATTTATGTTGGTGCCAGGAAACAATAGTTCCTTTCTCCCAGTCTCCCTTTTCCTGCCAATTCCCAATTCCACTGTGAGAAAAATTAAGTGGGATCTTGCTAGCTGCGGATAGTTCCATCTTGGAACCAGCCCAGTTGTTTACATGGGTCCAAAATCAGTTTGCTCCAGATTCTCAGGTTCTCATTTAAAAAATGGCAAACTGCACACAGTTCTCCAAGCCACGAGTTGTATACCCCAGGAGTAGACCAAACTTGCAACTGTCCAGGTTTGGCTTGAGTGCATCTCTTATCATCCCTGATCATAAGCCATGTTGGTTAGAACTAGAATCCAACAAGACCTGGAAGGCACCAACTTCCCTATATTTGACGGAAGAATACAAGCTGTGGTAGTAGAAAAGAAAAAAGAAAGAGCTGACATAAACAGCAGCTGTTTTTCTCTCTCCTGTCTCCCATTTCCAGGTCATTCCCAAAGTTTTTGAACTACTCCATGAGCTAAGCAAGGCCAGAGGAGCATCATCATTGGGTGAACCAGATCTTAGGATATCAGACGCATCGCAGGAACCCTGTTTTTTGGAACAGTTGCGAAGTTGGGAAGAGAAGATGGATGTACAATGTAGCTAGCTATACCTTGTTGCCCCATTTTGCAAACAGGTAGATCTATCAATCTTCCCCAGTCATCTGAATTCTTCATATCTGCAATGGATGACCTTAGTTAGGCCTTTCCCTCCAAAAGGTGCATGCTTCGAGGTGAAAAGTAGCTCCTTCTACATTCAAGGTTGCCTTCAATATATCTGGTTGATAACTGGTTGACTCGAGCCTTAATCAGGCAGTCTGCATTAAGAGCAATCACTTTCCTAAATTTTGGTCTTCCAGATATTTTGGACTTCAGCTCCCAGAATTTCTGGCAATTGGGCAAGCTGGCTGGGGCTTTTGGGAGTAGAATTCCAAAATATCTGGGGGAACTACAATTTGGGAACCACAGGGTTAAATCAGAGGGGATCTGTTCCATTATCACTCTACTAGGGACTGTAAAAAAGAGCACCTGCTATCTATGAGGGCTCATTTTGCAACTAAAAACTGTATTCTCTAAAGCTTGAACACTTTGGACTAGAATTCCCAGTATTTCACAGCCAGCTTGGCCATTGTAGTCCAAAACAGTCACATTTTTCCATCTTGCAAGACTCTCCTGCCTTGTAAGGAAAGCCCTCACACACAGTGATGATAGAGCAGGTCAGTAAACACACCACGCATCCTATATGGTTGGATCTACACTGACCACTTATCCCAGGGTCCTAGGATAGACCACTGCTTCTTAAATTGTCGATTCCTACCCCAAATAGGGGCCCCTTAGCTCAGTGCTGAAGTCACAAAAATTTGGCAACAGAACCACCCAAGCCCATGGAATATGGGATGGCTGTGTAGTCAGTTGCAGGTAGTTCCACTTCGGATCCAGCCCTACTGTTTATATGGGTCCAAAGTCAGTTTGCTCAATTCTCAAGTTTAAGGTGGCCTTGGCCACATTAGCACAAATCAACTCCATGAGCATTTTGCCACCATGGAACTGATTCATCCACCCTTTGGGATACATGGCCAGTGTTGATGTGTCCTATATTGAATGTCTGAAGAAACTGCAGGTTTGCATTGCCATTTTTACCTGCTGAAGTTATTGAAACATAATATATTCCCGTGTTTTCTGCTTATGTTAATGCAGTGAGAAGTCATCTCAAAGTCTGGAGCTCAAGATGGATAAAACTGAATTCACACATCTGGATAATCCTAGTCTACCATTTAGCATGCAACATTTAACAATATATTTTATTATTTCCAGGGAGTCAACCATAATAATTGGAGGCAAAGGATAGGTCTAGCAGCACTTTTGATATTAACTGATAATTCCCATCATAACAGTCCACTTCTGGAATCTGCTTGTAACTTTCTTCAACTCTTTCGCAGTCTTGATGCATTACATGGCTGTGGTCTCTTAACCACAACAGTGCTGATGCAAAGTCTTGCTGGGTTTTATTTTCAATATAAACATGTTATATTTCTTGCATTTGCCTCCTTGCTTGTGATGACATTGAGAGTAATCCAAATTTTGGATTGCTCTCATTCCAGTGCAGATCATACTTTTTGTATTGGTCGCCCTTTCTCTATATTTATAAACAACACAGTTTGGATATATATTATCTGTAAATATATTTTCACCAACTTGAAAAGGTAGATATTTGGCTTACAACTTCCAGAATCCACCAGCCAGTGTAACTGATGTAGAGATATTTGGGGAGTTGAAAATGTTCAGAATACTAACTTATCCAAGTTCTTAGTTGTAGATTCTTCTGGTCATACTCATTTTTTCCCTTTTGTTAGATTTAAGCAGCTCTGGCACTGATTATGGAATGCCTTCTTCCCAGATGACTTATTGGCTTTATTTATGCGCCAAGTAAAAACATTTCTGCCCACTAATATCTTGGGGCCTCACTGATTTATTTAAAAAGGTTAATGCACATACTTTTAAGTTCTACTCTTCTTAACCTGTTGTTGACTTGTCATGTTCTAAATATTTGTAGTCTATTTAAACTATTTTAAATTGTTTCCGTCTGCACATATTTTTACTTGTCATTACTCAGAAGTCTCATAGTATAGGCCCAGACTGCTTCCTCACAGAAAACCTATGAGGACAAGAGCACTAAATCTGTTTTGGGATCTCCCCAACAAAACCATAGGGCAGGAGTGGGAATTGTTGGACTGCAGCTCCCAGAAGCCCTGCTTACAAAGCCAATGGTGACGAACCAGACTTCCCTTGCAGTTCAGCATATGATTTTTAACCCACTGTCTTAATTCAGAAAACTTAGGACTGAAGAATTCTAAGCCTTGGATCCTGTTCTGATTATACTATACTTTGACCAAACTAGAAAATAGCATAAAATGACTCTAAATTGCTTCCTTCTTGCCCCAAAACTCTGCTTTACAATATAATTTAAAATGGAAGAGGAATTATACTATTCGTGTTAGATGAAAGTCAAAATACTGCCGAATTGATGCAAAATCTTCCTTTTGCCCAGCTCCAATACTCTAATTACATTTGAAGTAAACTGTTCCAAATAACAATAACTTGTCATCCATACATTCATGGAGGTATAATCTCTTCTGTAATGATTGTATTGTACCTTCATATATCACCAAAAGGACTCCAGCAATTGTAATTAAGGGGAAGCATGCCAGTAATGTTACCATATGTGCCTCTTTAAAAGTAACGACTGACTGACATAAGTAGCCATTTCAAGAATAGGGCTCATACCCAAATTTTCTTAAGATGGTCACCTATATCAGAGCTTTCCTGCAAGACAGTGATGTGCTAGCTTAATTTTTTAAATAAGTAACACATGCTTTATTTGAAAACATAAAATCCTAAACCGTAGGTTATATCTACCTTCTCTTCTGCACTGTGTGCAGTGATTTGCTTTTGTGTCTCTGCTTATTTTAAGCAGAGCAGTCCTAAACATACCCATTTAAAACTCCCATGAAATTCAGTGCAATTTACTCCCAAGTGTCTGTATTCATAGCCTGATTTTCCCCTCTATACTGCATTTTGTTTCTGTAAACTTTGAAACGCTTACATTTTGGTTCCAATTTCCTTTTGGTTTCTTCCTTCTCCATCTGGTTTCTTGTGTTTCCTGTTATTGGCCGTGTTCACATTATGCTAGGGCAGGAATTAAAACTTAGTACCATAATATGAAGGACTAATTCACTTGCATAGGTAAGTTAAGAACTCCCAAACCACAGTTAAGGCCAAAAATAAGACCCGATTGCTTGTTTTTTGAGCTGGTTAATTTTACGCACACAGGTTGATTTCAAAGTCACTCTTGTGCTATAGCTTCACAGGCCAAAGAGGAGTACCTGAAATCAGAAGAGCTGTGCCCCAAAAAGAAATTGATTTAATTCTATATGTATGAGTCACAGAAATATGAATTTTGTATAAACCCAGAATGATGGTTCCACATGCCTAAGAGAATTCACAAACTCATGCCAAACCCTGCTTTAAAGCTGATTTATAGTCTTGGTTTTGTTGGCCACTGCTAACCACAAACTTGAGCTTTTGCTGCAGAACATTTGTGTGTATTGTGATTTACAAAGACGGGATTTCCATCTGAATTTTGTCTGTGTGACTGCAATCACCGTCAGATTTTGACCATGACAATCTTTGCAAAGTTTACTGTACAATGCCTTGTAGTTTCATGAACAAAACAGGGAGGAAGAGACAAATATCTGTTTCAGCCCACAACCCTACCACGATGTCAGAGCCAGGAGGAACAGAACTGAAAGATAAAAACAGCCTTTGTCTGACATCTGATGCCAAGAGCCGTAATTATCTCAGAAGATTGGAGATTCAGTGTATCCATCCGGAATAGTAAATGGATACAGTCTGATCCATTGTGGATTTGTCTAACCTCCTCTTTTAAAGTCACTTAAGGCAATAGCCACATCTTCTGGCTGCAAATACCAATGTACTTGCATATAAGTGCATTAGCACATACTGCATGGCAGTGTAATAGTTCCACATGCAGAACTATGTTACAAAGCCATTTACCACCCCCACTCTCTAGACCAGTCATGGGCAAACTTGGGTCCTACAGGTGTTTTGGACTTCAACTCCCAGAATTCCTAACAGCCTCAGGCCCTTTCCTTTCCCCCCTCAGCCGCTTAAGCGGAAAGGAAGGGAAGGGGCCTGAGGCTGTTAGGAATTCTGGGAGTTGAAGTCCAAAACGCCTGCAGGGCCCCAAGTTTGCCCATGGCTCATCTAGACCTATCATATTGCCACTTAAGTCGTCCTCTTCATCTCTTGGGGAGGGTAGATTAGAGAAATAACTGGCTTAAAGCAACTAGGTAGCCAGATGTGAAACAATTACATAATTGGCTGAGATAATACTTTCACAACTGCCTACCCAGAGTGGTTATCAACCTGTGGGTCCCCAAGTGTTTTGGCCTTCAACTCCCAGAAATCCTAACAGTGGGTAAAATGACTGGAATTTCTGGGAGTTGTAGGCCAAAACACCTAGGGACCCACAAGTTGTGAACCACTGGCCTACTGGGACCTACCCAGACCTATTACTCTCCTTCAGGCATGGATGGCTGAAGGGCAGGTGGTGCTGGAAGTGGTTCCAATTGCGGCAGTGGGAGGAAAGGCATATCAACTTCTGAAACAGACATTTACAGATATAAGTTTAACTTATGCATGCATATGCCAGTCACTGCAGATTACATGACAAGTGTTGTTTCTTGCATGTTTCTAAATCTCATAATCTCTTTCACAGGAGATTTGAGTTATTTGAAGTCTTGGAAAGACATGTATCAGCTTTCTTCTCCAGGAAAAAAATCCAAAATTTGATTTGCCCTTCCTGATCATTCTTACAGTTTGTTCCAATTTCAGAAGAGTATAGGATTTCTGCAAGAACTTCCAAATATTGGGCGATGTGCGAGTCCATAGAAGTGTTGATGGATCCCAGTGGTGCATGTACTACTTGATCTCACTGTGTCATGGAATATTTGTGAAACTCCATCAGAGAACATACTTGTTTTGGTGACTATCAGGCCAAGTTGGGTGTGAGCCCTAGTCTTGAGATGTGTGCTTAATTCAGGGCCTTCTTATAAGAGTGTGATGTGACTGCTTCTGTGAGAAACAAAACGGAGAGGCAGATCTCTAAATACGGTAACTATAATAGCTCTGTGCTGAGGCAGTAGGGCTGATATTCCAACCTCCCGACAAAGAGGTGCCAACTCCCACCCTAAAGCATATCTACACTGTCACTAAAACACCATGGAAGCAGAGCCAGTTTAGATGGGTAAATGCAGTTTTATGAAGAGAAAGAAGGTGGGGAAGAGTATGACAGACAAAACTTACAGCTGGGCGGCGGCGGATATGAAGGGTGTGTAACCCACCCAGCGCAGCAGCAAGAAGCTGCCATTTCTAGGTCAATTATAGTACTGCTGTGTCCTGACTGCTGATAGGAGGGGTAAGAAGAAACCATCAAATTAAAAACATGCTAAATGAGTAAAAACTACACATGGGGAGGGCAGAGGAGGAATAGTGTCCACCCACAGTATCACGGGTGCTCAAGAGGGATGAAACTAAAGCTTAGCCCCATCCTCTTCCATCTGTATTTACAGGGCAAAACACCAGTCGATTTGTGGCTAAAACCATGAAAAGTATTTGTGGGGAGGGGGTGCCCAGGGCAAGTAGGCAGCTGCACTCTCGAAGTGCTACTCTTGCCAAACAAAACAGGGTTGCTCTACTCCCCTTCCACATCCCCCACACTGTATAGGAGGGGCGCAGGAGGGACTGCAGCCAAGCCTACTTGCATAAAGGGCCATTTTGATTCCCCTCCCCTCCGCCCAGTCAGAGAAGATCAGAGCGGGGGCATAGGCAGGCCAGACTTGTCAAGACCCCCTATTTCCTTGGGGGGACCTGGCTCATCATCCATCTTGCGTCCATGTTTTCGAAAGTATTTGTATCGCTGGACATAAGCCTTGACAAGGTTGTTCACCTTGACGGGATTAATTTCTCCACTTTTGCTGTGGCAGATCTAAAGGGAGGAAAGGGGAAAGAAACAACAAAGTTAGGCTTTCATCCTCTTTCACTGTAGCCTTCCTTGCACATCCACTCCTCTAGACTGCTTTCCTACCAACCCGTCCTCCTTTCTACCTTGTGGACGGCTTTGCGCAGAATGTCCTTGTACTCTTCCTTGGTGATCTCCTTCTTCTGGTAATAGGGCTTGATAGCCAGCTTTACTTCCTCTACGGCTCGCTCCTGTGTATGAAGTTTCTTCAGATACTGAAATGGGAACAGAGGCAGGGCAGTTGGCACGAGCTGGGCACAATGCAAGCGGTCAAGCTGATCTAAAGGTGATGGCCAGTGCTTGAAGAACTTGATAAACCACAGCCCTCAGAATATCCCTGTTGTTGGCTGAAGGGTTCTGCAAAAACCAACCCTAACTTATTAGAGCAGGGGTCCTCAAACTAAGGCCTGGGGGCCAGATACGCCCCCCCCCCCAAGGTCATTTACCCGGCCCTCGCTCAGGGTCAACCTAAGTCTGAAACAACTTGAAAGCACACAACAACAACAACAACCCTATCTCATCAGCCAAAAGCAGGCCCACACTTCCCATTGAGATACTAAGAAGTTTATATTTGTTAAAATTGTTCTTCATTTTAATTACTATATTGTTTAAAGTGTTTTTGCACTACAAATAAGATATGTGCAGTGTGCATAGGAATTCATTCATGCTTATTTCAAATTATAATCCGACCCTCCAACAGTTTGAGGGACTTTGACCAGGCCCTCTATTTAAAAAGTTTGAAGATCCCTGTATTAGAGGCTCTGGTGGCAGCATGAAGTGAAACAACAACACCACAGAGTGACCAAAAGGGATCTGGAAACCAAAACGAACTTGGTTCTTTGAAAACCA